GTTAGTGCATTCAACAATCCTAGCAAGTGTTGTGTTTTTACACGTCGATATACTGTAGCAGCGTCAACGCAGCAAACATAACTGTGTACATTTTAACAACGACAGTGTTTTCATGATTGTACTATGTGCTTCTGATGATGGTTATATTAAACCGAAACATGTAAGGCAGAAGTGATAAAGAAGTGACCTACAAATTGTTACACTGGACGGACTTTCTATTAACTTTGTGATTGATAGTGTAACGGACCAAAAATGAAACAATTTAAAATATTACCTATTCATTCCAAGGGCGAGTTACAAGAATCCAACGTCGACAAGAGGCTAGTTCAGTTTGTATTCGACTTTAGCAGGAGAGAGTTGTTATCCGACTAGAATATAAGAGTTCTTATCCGACACTTCACCAAGATCAGCGGTGGAAGTACTTGTAACATTGAAGAAGAAACGTCTAAAGGACGTTATAAGTGGAGAATAACGGTAAGTGTGAGTGTAAAAGTGACTGTCCAATAAAGATATTTGTTCAAATCCGAGAATCCACACAGTTTCTTGTCGCGTTGCCTAGCAAACACGCGACTATATATTTCGAAGGAAGAGTTAAAAAAAAAAACACCCAACACTATTACCTTCAGAAGTTCTTGAGAAACAGCTAAGATTATGCTGAGATAAGGCCGCGCCATAGCTCAAGCTGTTAGTCGCTGACTCTCCACCGCGGCGGCCCGAGTTCGATCCCGGGTCTGGTCAAGTGGGATTTGTGGTGGACAAAGTGGCGCTGGGGCAGGTTTTCTCCGAGTACTTCGGTTTCCCCTGCGAATCTTCATTCCACCAATTGTTCCACAATCACCCTCACCTATCATCTGGGGCTGGTACAATAGACCAGAAGTGGCCGTAATACAAGGGACTTAGTCCCACCCCACTAGCAATAAAAAAATTTGCTGAGATAGAAACTTTGAAGAATAGCACTAAGCAGTGCTGTCACCTGGAGGAAATTGTGAGCATGGTGTCAAGCATACATCCCACTGCTGCGACATTCAGCCTCTGTCCGTAACTACTCGCTAACATACGTAACGACAGAATGGCGACAGAAGAGTAGGCTTTGGAATTTTATATATAAGGGATATTAATAAAGATTAGCTACCGTTCAGACTTAAGAATTAGTTCCCTGAATATTGTAACGTCAGTATAGCCTGCATTTATATCCTGTGAATGTTCTCAGTCACCAATCCACTATCGGGTAAGCCATACTTGTTCACCGAATGTCAGTGTGTAGTACTCGGCAGTTTCCGAGTTCGAAATTTGGACCAAGAATCGGAATTCTGATAGAAGTTTTGCTTAATTCTTGCATCCCAGTTTTGGGTTCGTAAGTTAAAACAGGTCAGAACCGCTTCCTTATTCATAATTACAAACTTTTCATTGATTTGCAAACCTATAATAAATTCGAAGCAGTGTTTCCAGTGTAGTGTCAAAATCTTTGTCGTAGACATTAATAATCAGTCGTTTTTGCTCTGTTAATACACTCTGTAGTTAACCCTATTAATGCTTGGACCTCTATTTCTAGCTACAAGGCAATATCTCATTGTCTTCTAAATATTTTTATTGTTTAATAAAAACTCATAAGTTGTTTATGTTCTAGCATCTTTGTTATTCGATAGAAGGCGTCGAATGCTCGCTTTTTGTATCTTTATTGTTCGACGGAAATGACCAGCCTTTTGTGTTCTAATGGTTTTTATTGTTTGATGAAACAGTAAAAATAAATCCTCCTGCATTCTCTTGACAGTCTGAGTTAATTATTTGCGGTTGTCAACAAAGAAAATTATTAAATGTATGGAAAAAATTGAGACTTGTGTCTTTTTAAATGAACTCAGCAGACAAAGGGTACGTACGAAAAGGCGCTATTCTGTATGGTCTTGAATCAGTTAAGTGCTCACGGCTGATGACGGACGAACTGTAATATTACCATCTTATCTACTCAGACTTCAACATTGCTGATTTTCAGATGCGGTCTCCGCCAAAAATGTGCGCATACTTGTTTACGTCCCCAATCTTGGTGTCCATTTAATTTTCACTTTCATTTGACTACACTGACAGGCCTCATAAATTGCGGAATTACTCATTGTATGTTGCGTTCTCCGCCCAGTCTTCTGGCTTCAGATACTTTCCAGACAACTTTGTTTTCAAATGCCTGAAAGTTATGTTGTGGAAGTGGCCACGAAAATCGCTAGCAGACTGCAGACTGCCTCTGTCTCTCTGTTGATGGTGCCAGCAGTACGTCACACACTGCATCTTTGAGGAGCGGGTCAGCGGGGGGCGACTCCATGGGGTCGACGGATACGATGACCCCAAGCGAGGTATCGACGAACGTGACGCTGGACACAGTGTCGTCACACACGTGTAGCAGTGGGTCGCAGAACGCCTCCTGCCGCGCTATTTGCGGCAGCCTTGCCTCCTTCGACACCAGCTCCGTGCTCAACACCGAGGGTAAGAAACACCAACACTCTGCCCCAGCCAGTGTGCCATTTATAACAACTCATTAAATAGCAGACCAGATGTAATTAAGTGTGGTATGGGTGCCATATCTCCGATCACAGTGGCCGCGCGGTCTAAGGCATGAACTGTCTTTGCCCGCTCAAACACTGGGGTCGTGAGTCTAATCCCACTTGAGGCATGGATGTCTGTGTCCGTTTATTCTGTGTTTGTGCTGTCCTGTGTGCATGTAGCGGCATTGCGACGGGCTGATCCTCCGTCCAAGTAGTCCTACCGACTGTGTGAAAGATAAAGAAACTGAAAAAGCGGCTAGGGTCCAACAGGGTGGTTTAAAGTCATAGATGGGATGGACGGACGGACGGACGGACAGACAGACAGATGGACGTCATGTCATTGCCATTCACCCCTGTCTTCTTACTTTCTGAGATATGATGTTCTCGCGATATTCAGTATCAAGATAACCATCTACTCTTATGACGGAGACAACAGGCTTCTCCGAAGCATTGGTGCCTCTGTACTAAATCACACGGCGTTACATTCCGGGAGTTCGTAATCTGATACTGTTCAATTTCATGTCTAGCTCAATGGAGCAGAGCCCTTTTACAGAATCCGGTAGTCACTCAGTTTTTCAGTAACTACATCGCCATCTGTAGAACTCGAAGCTTCATTACCGTGTTCACAAGTATCGCCCACGAGATGCTATCCTGAAACAGTTGAATCGAGTCCATAACCTCCCACCCTCTTACTTAAAGATAGGTCATAATATTATGCTTCCAACTATCGCCAGGTCTACCAGATTATCCGACTGAATTTCTTACGCTTTTCTAACCTCCCCATGCATTCCGTATGTCCCACCAATCTTATCCTTCCTGATGTAATCAACATGTCAATATTCCATCCTTGTTCCATGTAACCTCCTGTACTTTAAACAAAAAAAGCAAACAAACTTCGTGGTTTTAGTCCGCAAGCGAACTATACCGATCGACCGACTGCCGCTAATCGGCGAGGTTAGTGCCAACTTTAGCGAATAGAGGGTGTCACGTGGTCACCGCAACGAATTCCCACTGCCGTTAATTTCGGTTTTCTAGACCGGAGTCGCCATTTCTTTTAAATAGCTCCTCAGTTATCCTCACGAGGCTGAGTGAACCCCGTTTCAGACCCACTACTTCTCAGAAAATCCAGAAGCGCCGGGAATCGAACCCGGACCTCTGGATCTGTAACCAGGAACTCTGACCATAGGACTCTCACCAAATTTAAATTATATGTTATTGATCCTTTTGCTACCTATTTCAGTGATCCTTCTTTGTGGATCCTCCTGAAAGTCAGAGTTTCAGATTTCATGTCCTTTGTAATTTCCTGTTAATTTTTGCTATACTAATCATTTTCAGCGTTACTGCTCATTTAAGAATGGCATGTATTGTGTAGTGGATTCATACATATGTTCGTTAGCCAACAGACTGATACTTGTCGTTGGTTCATGAAAGTATGCACAGTGACACCTGAGACATGTGTTTCAGGTGTCCCACTGCTGGAAGAGAGTGAGCATGAGGATGGGGTTCAGGGCCCTGACTCCACAAAGCTGGTCATGGTGGATCAGTCCCTGATGGACAATGCTTCCTCCAAATGCCGTCACAATTCATCAGATCTTGTCTGATGAATTTCACAGTAGCTATGTCTGTATCCTTGATGCAAATTAGGCATCCAGTCTTCGTTGTCATCGTCTGAACCTCTAGTTGGCTTTATAGAGGGTGCAATAGTGTGACAGTACTTCAGCCTCACTTGTCTGAGTTGTATCACATTCCAAATACATTGTAAAATCTTACAAGTACATGTTTGTTATGCTGAAGGTTTGCCAGTATGATAGTTTGCTCTAAACATACGAGGAAGTGACATTAATCCTAAAGGTCATTGCACAAATGGAGTATTATAACACGGGTAATGGAAGTAATGTATAAAATATATAAATTGGCAGTTTTCATATACATAAATATTTTATAAAATAAGAATTACACTCGTCTTTAATTTAAAGTGTTTACTTGTAACTCTCTATAATCGAAACTGTCTTTTGTAGACTTGGTACATAGACATGAAGTGAAGTAGGTAGTGAAAATGAAAATATTTTTAAGTATTTTATATAATCTTCCAGGACCGTACATACTTAGCCATTATGAGGTACACAAGTGTCTCCAAACAGGTTTACTTTATGCGGGCTGCTGAATCAAATGATACGTGATACATAAATATATGTGGTTACATACACATTTTCAGTGATGCCAAACTCCGTTGTTGACTCTGTATGTAAGTAACACAAATTCTATGTGCACTAATCATTGAGACATTCCTAGCTGAAATTCTTTTTACGCTTAAGGACCTTTGGCTCATGTAAAAACGCTAGTTTTTTCTTGTTAAGTTCTACTCATCGTCACTGCCAGCATTTGTTACTTCGAACCAGAGCAAAAGAGAAAGAAACTGTTACTGAGCTTCTTCCACCTTCATGGAACCTACACATATAGAAGAACTGAGAGGATGCTGTAAGAAAAACGCTGACATAAACAATATTCTCAGACATGTGTTCTGAACGCGGCGTTAGCAACGCCTCGTTTGTGACACTGTTGTAACCCCGGCCCCTACTCTTTGTCTTTCTTCTGTTGAAACACGTTTTCCTTTAAAAAGTCTTTCCATTAATGGTTTTGCTAATTGAGCTATTTCATTCTTGTTTGCCAAAGCAAAATAGAAAAAAGTCTACCTTTTCCACCCCATATAAACAAGTGGCATCACTTAAGTGTTTAATGAGGGATATTAGAACTTCATTATTATAACATATTTTGACCAGTCCATTTCTAATTTATTTTTAAGGGCTCAATACAGAATTCTGTATTTCAAATTACCAAAAAGAAACTTAAGAACTCTTTGTTTGTTAGAAGATTTGCATCCTGATTACTTAATGCTTCAGCTGGCAATCGAACAGGTTTTAAGTGGTTTAACATATCTCTCACAATTTCATAATACTCCTCTTTCCATTAGTGACCGATCTTCAGCTATCATAGTTCAGTTTTATCGCATTTAGGATCTTTATAAAACCTTATGATCATTCTTTCTAATTTGTTCCAGTGTGTTCTGCAGTCCAAAATGTCATAGTTCAATTTTTTGCTCTTGATTATTTCCTATTGCAAAAGAAAATTACTTACTGGAGAATATTTAGATGGTTTTACAGTTTTTCTTGTACAAAAAATTGCCGGAGAAACATCATCTTGCAGTTGATACTGATCGGTTCTGGCCACATTATCTGAATCAGAGTCACTGTTTTCATCTTTCTCATATTCAGAATCAGCATCGTATTGGTTTCCACTGATGCTTCTTTTTGGTGCTTCATCTTCTCAGTTTATTTACGTAAAACACTTTAGTTACAGCAAGGTGAAGTGCGTTATTGTAATATAACTGGTGAATAGTTGGTGATAACTTTCCAAATTTTTCCATAACTGCTGCACCATTTCTTGTACCCATATCTGTTTCAAGTTTTAATTCAGAGGTTTCTAATCTTTCCCCAAAGAAAGGTAACACTTTTTTGCAGGACAGGACAGGACAGGCCATTAATTCTTATTAAACCAAGATTCAGCAAAGTCTCATTGTAGTATACAGGAATGTTCATGTATCTTTGATTCCTACAGCTGGTCCACTTGTCTGTGCAAATGCTCCAGTGAATTTTCAATGATCATTTCACTAATATTTTATTTTGGAAGCTTTGTAATTGTTGAAGGTAATATGTGTGTGGATGCATATCAGCTTTAGTCATGTTATTGTAGTTCATTTTCTTGACACTGAACTTCCTTTTAACAATGCTTTATTTGTATATTGACCTTAAGGATTATAACTTCCAATTGCAACAAAATGGAAAACAAAGGACTAGCTTTTGTTACAACAACTTCTATTGAAGAATGAGTAATTCTAATATGTACTGGTTGACATTACTGCTTTGTATGTTACACCTGACAATAGCTGTTATTTCACTCACTAGTAATTGTATTAATATGCGTATTACATGGCTGCATTCACTTCATGCGTACCTCTGAAGAATTATGTTGATGAAACAGATCTTGAGTATAGTAGGCATTCTGTAAGTGGTGTATCCTCTTTAGATGAGACAGTTTGTGGAATTCCCACTTCTGGTAAAGACTAAGCAGAGTTAGCAGTTATAATTCAAGTTGTGACATTGCTGCATTTCAAAGAAACATATATAAATACTGCACCTCTCTGATGAATGCACATGCATCAAAATAATACGACATCCAGAATTTTGAGATTTCAGGTTTTCAAGGCAGTGAACATTAAAATTGTGGTTCAAGGTTATGACAAACTTGTTGTTTTATATGAAAGTTTGTACTACAAAACTGTACAGTGTCATAACCCAATTGTGGTTCAATAAAGTGGAGTGTAATTATTAGTTTCTAGTAATGTAGCACAGTATTTCCTTCACAGACAATAAGAAGGTAGCCAGTCAGAATGAGGAGCATTATGTAAGCATTTGCTTCTCTAAATTGTTTAGCCTTTTTAACACTTGCTTAGATGTTTGGTGTTAAACAGTAAAAATGAATCTTGGCTTAAATAACAAATATTTCTGCTAATGAAGTATAACTTTCAGAATGTTGTGATGTAGTAAAAATTATTTCCATTTTATAATTTGGTAACTATTTGGCCCTAACTTGGTGTAGCCATATGTTGTGATGGACTTTTGCAGGCTGCAAGTCTTGTGTATAAATTTGTGGGAAATGTATCCTGTGTATTGTATTTGATTATTGAGCATTTTTATCCATTTCCTATTAAATGTAGCTGTTTCTTAGGGGTACTGTTTTTCAAATGACCAACTATAGCCTGCCCCCATCTTATTTTCTCGCTCTGAGTCACGTTGTAGTAAACTAGTGTTATATTATGATATATATATATATATATATATATATATATTATGAATATTAATTCCTTTCATGCATCATTACTGTCACCATAGTCATCATTTTAATCATTTTTCATTCATTCAGTCATTCATTAAGCTATTCATTTATTGTTATTTGTCATATGCTTTTGATTTAAACTGTTTGCCATCATTTCTTTCATGCTCTTACTCATAATGCTTTTTCCATTGCATGGGCAATTTGTCTCACAGAAACTGTTGGAATCTCGGGTCTTGGTTATATTCACAAATTACTCATCTCATGAAGTTTTCTTCAGAAATAGTTTTCAGATACTAATAAATTTAAGATACAGATTCTAATCAATAGGCTTCAATAGTATTCTCTGTCACACCTCTTTCTGTTGTCTGTATTATAGCAAGGTTGAAAATTTGTTGGAAATCCTTGAATTAGATACAGTTGAGAATATTTATGGTGGATTTAGAGATCTGTTAAAGTGAGTGTATAAAGTTACTATATGTTACCAGTAAGCTTGTGTGAATGGTTTTGTAGGTAAGTGACAGAGAACTTTATTTTTGTACATATTCAGCTAAAATGAATTTCCATGCCATCTCGTTTTCAGAGTTGTGAAAGACTCTAAATTAAAACTCATTCTGTGGTATAGACTGAATAGTAAGAATAAGTATTATGACTTCTCTCTTACAAATTTGGTTTCAAAGCTTTGGTTTTCTTGATTCCTGTAATATTATATTATTAATATTGATTTGTGCAAAAGCAAGTTGTCTAGACCATGGTCATGCACAATCGGTCAGTTTATAAGTAGTTTACTTAAACAATTTGTTACTGAGATATGTGGCCCTGTAAGAAATGTTCCCATTGAAGTAACATATAGCCCAGATATTTTTCTAAAACCACAGTATATGTGTAGGTGTTTGGGTGTTTAGAATCAATTCCTATTCTGTTATTTCTATACAGGTATATATAAGATACTCATGCTAGTGCATATTAAGACTGTAGTCTTCTGACATGACATTGTGAGGATGGAGGAAACGGGTTCCTCCAAAACGTTGGTAACCACCTACCAAACTACATCACATCTCAGAAACCCACAATCTACATAGATAGGTAGTAAAACAGAATGTAGCTGCATCCCATAGAACCTAGTAAGAAGGATGTGGCACACATCACAGGTATCCAAATGTTCAAATGTTCAAATTTGCATATTGTTTTTTATAAATGATTTATCTTCATTGTTAATTTATTATCCCATTTTCTTTGCTTCTTTGCTAATTGAAATGTATGAACTGAAACACATAGTGAGGTCAATATAGGGAAACATTTGTCTGATGCATTTCTTATCTGGAATGGTCTCAAGCAAGGATATGCTTTATTGACAGCGATTTTCAGCTTTGCTTCAGAACATGCCACTAGGAAGTTCCAAGAATAGTGGGAGGGATAGGAAGTGAATGGGACACATCAGCTATTGATCTGCCTTGTTAAGGCTAATTTACTGGGTAAAACCATGAACAGCAAATAGGAAGATAGACGGTGTACTAGGTGCTTGTAAGAAGAATGGTGTACAGATGCATATAAAGAAAACTGGGTCTATGTTCCATGACTCATCAGCAGAATGCAGGAAAAAATAAAAGCTAATAAATGCTTTAAAACTGCAGCACATTTAAAGTATTTGGGAACAGCAGCCAGTTGCAGTACAATAGCAAGAATTAAAACAACAAGGGAATCTTAGAATATTTCTCTCCGTGCGTGTGGTAGGTGTGTGTGTCAGTCAGTGTATATATGTATCATTGTGTTTAACTTCCTGTGTCTAACTGTAGTATTCATATAATATAATATCAGTTCTCATCCTTCTTTTTCTGCCTTTCTTTCAAGGATAGGCTGGCTGGAAACCTCTTGCAGCCTCAGTCCAACATTTAATGGGTCTGTTAATATGTCTTTTTCCTTATTGACAGTAATGCAAAATGAATTTTGATAATTTGTTTTCACCAGTCTCTCCTTTGTTGTGTCCAATTTTGTCTGTATTACTTTATATTGTGTTTAAGCCATGCCATATCTCAGGTGGGTAGTCGCTGGTTTCCCACTGCAGCGGCCTGGGTTTTGTCCCAGGCCAGATCTTCTGGGATTTGTGTTGGACAAAGTAGCATTGGGCCAGGTGTTCTGCAAGTACTTCGGTTTCTGCCCCCAATTCTCATTCCACCGACTGCTCCACACTCATCATCTGTCATCCAGTGCTGGTAAAATAGGCCAAATACGGTCAACATTCCAAGTGGATTCAGTCTCACCCCACCCCAAGAAATTAAAATTATATTGTGTTTTATTAAAAGTGTATGTAATGTTTTTTCTAATGTCATCATTACTTGTAATGATCCTGCTCACATTGATATATCTTTTGACACTTGTTGAAAATGAGTTGCAGCTAAATAAATCTTGTTTTCACCTCTCTTTATTTATTTGAGTTTTACTTGTGTAATGAAAGGTAGGAACTGCCCATGTTTTATAAAGTTTAATTTGTTTCTGCCTTCTTTCTTGTAATTCTTAAAATCTATTTAACTGTTAGTATTACATTGAATGTATTTAAATAGGATGTCTAATTTTGAGATTCATTCATACTCTTTAATGAGCTTTGTGCCAAGTCAGAGATGAAGCCCCAGACTTGAAGACCCAAGAATGTGATGATGTGCTGCCTTAGGGGACACTGATAGAAGGCTGTGAAACAAAGGTGGAATGATGATTAATAGTGGGAAACTGAAGACACTTGGAGAAAATCTGCTTCAGTTCACCTCATCCATGTTGTCACCCAGTGTTGATGGAGAGGCTTCACAGTGAGAAGTCTGTGTAATTGCCTGAGCTATGACATGGCCCTCACACTTTTCAGCTCTTTATATTTGTAATAATGTTGCAGTAACAAGTCATTAAATGTGTTTAGTCCGTCAATTTCCCAGGAACAAATGAGAGTACGAGTACATATGTTATTCTAGTCAGAGTATGGCAGCAGGTCTTTACACCTGCAACAGATAACCTTCTCCTTTATACATACTTGTAAGTGTTTTTGTTGGATTGTACTTGTTATTTTCCACTCGTCAGTTAAGTTTCCGGGTGAGAATGTACTTTTCTGCAAACACCACAGTTTTTTTGTTTCTTTCTTTCTTTCACATAGACTCCTTTCTGTGTGGAATTATTTGAAGTTTTTCATGAGATAGTGCCATAGGGATACATTGCTCCCACTAATTTTCTCATAATAGGAGAGTCTGTATACCTCCTTATGATTATTATGTTTCTGTTTTGACATAGGCATTACAGAATGCCCAGCTATGTACAGTATCACCAGCAAACACAGAACATTAGTAGCTTGATTTAACATGAGTTGAAATGTCTGGTCTCACTTAGATTGCAGTTGGTTCATTTGAAAATCTTCCAGCTGTGCTCTGAAGGTAGTTATGTTAATGTTTAGATAAAGAAGAACATTTCTAGCATTATTAGCATTAAGTTAATGGTTGTATGTTGAAATCTGACAGTGTTTGAAGAATAAAATGTAAAACATAACATCAAAGAATTGAGAATTACGGACATTGTGCTGATTGTAGTAAGGTGTATATATGTATGTAGTACATTTTATCACATGTTGCAACGTTGGTATTTCATAAGCAACGTGAAATGCCCCATACTATATAGTCTCAATGATGAAAGCATTATTAAATAAACTCCCCTTGCAAAAAGAAAATGTGAAATTCCCCTAGAGAATATATGAGGTTTTAAAGAAAAAATAAACAATATATTTTCTATGAATTACAGTGTAAAGGAATGGCATTCTTTAATAGTGTTCTTCAAGCCTTTTGAGTACAGTGCAGTGTATGATCAATGGTCATATTTTGAATTATGTGCAGAAATAATTTATTCTGTACTCTAGTTTCAATGTTATATTTACACATTCTGGGTTTTGTCATGCCAACCCCTATCCAGGAAAATTTATGCTGTTAACCATAATGTAACCATAAATTGTTCACCATAAAGTCATTATTCATTACTAATTATGTTAAATTAACATTTAATTATTGAGTATCAAGTAGTACCTGTGATAATCTGTAACCTGGTTGTAGAATTCTATCATATACTGCCTCTTGGGAGAGCATGACTACAATTCTCATACTTTACTGAAAACAGTTTTCACTGCTCTGGACATTTACCAAGATAAACAGTATGTAAACGTGAATTTTATTTCGTCACATATTACACTGGTGCAGAATCATTTCCTTTAAACTTAGATCAGTGGTACTGAGGACATGAATTATAATTATTTCTTCCCTGAATCAGCAACTTAACTTTCATTTCTTTGATCCCTGTGGAATGAAAAAAATATTTGGGTCACACCACAAGTGTTTGAATGGACTGACCAACAACTGAACAGTTCTGGATACCAGTAAGTTTGGTTATGAAGAATATATTTTGATAGTACTTTCAGTATTTAATTAGATTTCTGAAATGCATGTGATGAGTGACTTATGGATACTTACAAATAGTGAGAACAGAAATTATTACCTCTTAAGATACCTGTTCTCAGTATATTTAGAATTTTAGTAAAATAATTATAACACACTGCTTAATTGTAGTTTAATTAACTCAGAATGTAATGAGGTTGTTTCTTTAAACTTAGTGGATGAATCATTTGCATGACAGAGCTCATACTTAAATTTTTAATTCCATCGGGATGTAAAAGTCACAGTGTATGAAGACAACGTGCAAACATGACATCTCTGTGATAAATTAAAATAGTCTTGAAAATTCCATAAATTTCTAGGCAAACATAATTTGACTTAAAGATGGAGATGGAAATCACACAAGTGACATTTCCATTGAAAAAATGTTCGAGATTTTGTTGCCACTCATAACTTCCATTAATTAATCATGGGAAAAATAAATTTATATCCTACATAATGCTGTGAATCATGTGTTTTACCAGTATTTAAATACATTAGGTCACATTTGTCTTGGTGGTGCTGGGTGCAGTTTGTGCCCTAGAGAAGATATCTTGAGATTTGGTATAACTGGTATGTTCTTTCTGTTGCCTCTATCATTATGTAACTATGAGTAGGAATAATGACCTGTAGTATGTCTGCACTGACACCCTTAAAGAAATGGTTTTCATTAAAGAATACGTTTGGCTTTCATTGCCCATTGTTTTATCATGGGATATGAGAATATATGTGTGTACCACTACTGATTATGAACAGTTTTTGTTATCACTGTACTTCATATTTTCCTGTTATACAGTTACACACCAAAATGAATGATATTTTCTACATAAGTACAACATTTATTAGAATAATATAGGGTTATATGATGTTAAGGGAGGCCTAACCTTAATTTTAATTCTACATATTTTCTTCTATATTGTACTTACGCTTTCATGTGCTGTATTTATTAGTATAACATGTACATAAAATTGAAGTAATGCTCATGTCTACTTAGATATATCTGTTACATGTGCTTCAACAGTATGACAATGCCCTGATGATATCCCAATTTTCTGTGTAATGTTCTTCTGATATGTAACTAAGATTAAATGTAATATTCCTCATAAAATTTTCCCATATATTTGTTAATATTTATATTATAGCACTGTCATTTATGTGTGTATAGTTAACTTCTTAAATTGCTCTCAGATAGTGTTTGTTGTGTAAGTGCTCATAATATAATGCTAATAATTATGAAACATTATGGAAGAATTATCTTCACATCCCATTATGATATTATATTGTTACTGCTGTTTTTGGCAGCTCTTGACTGTAGGCAAGAACCGCATTATTGTATTCTGAAATTAACACATTACTTTAATAATTTTCAGTAAATTATGAACGTAGTAGTTACATATCCATTTTCAGTTTTCACAATGGTACATGTGACTTCCCAGTATGACACATAGGTAAACCCGTTTTCTTGTGTTTGTATAATTACTTTAGGTGTGAGTATAATAAGTGAATTTGGAACTTTTGAGAATCGACTGTTGGTCACCACAGTTCGTGGTACAGTGTTTTGTAACAATCTATGAGCTCATGAGCTCGAATTGTGAAATTCTAAGTAGATTTCTGAAATTGAAGGAGACAATTCATATACTGATGGACAAATATAACAAGTTTGTAAAATGTACAAATCTGTTTGTGATTATTTGTAGAGTGGTTATGAGACGTGAAATAAAAATGCAGAGCATTGGTCACCACTGTCTTTGCTGATCAAAAAAAAAATTTCTTTCTTGTCTTCTTCTTATTGTGTTCAACAAGATTTGTTGTGACTGTGTGTTTCTATGGTATTGCTCATATACTATGAATGCAGTTATTAATTCATATTTTGTAAACACTGATCTGCGATGTGTGTAGTGTTCAATACTTACAATGTAACTTTCACAGAATTTATTGACTCTGACACAGATGTCATTATTTTCAATACAGGGATAAGAAATATCAGATTATGAAAGCAGTAAATAATTTCATCATATATTTAGACACCATAAAGATCGATTAGATGGTAGGAAGTAACTCAAGGGCAGAAGTTTCTCAAACACCATTGCTCAGAATCACGTGTTAGACGTAAGTTCCATTCCATTTAACATATTTTAAATTCCTGTTGCATTGGGGTGTCTTATTTGTAGTCTTGTTTTCCATCTATAATGCAACAATTTAATTTTTAAATGACACTAAATCGCATTTAATTCACCAAAATGCTCATTAAATATAAAATGCC